GAGCTGGGCTGTCACCGCTTGGCCGCCGGTGGGGGGTTTGGGAGGCCGCATCGCACACAAACACCCACACACTCCCTCAACTTCCACGAACGCACACATACGCAGACTCCTTTCCACACGGACATGGACACACGCACAGAAACCCACACACTACCTCAACTCACTCGACTTAACACTTCTCACTACACACTTACCGGATAACTCGCACTCTGATTTCCTACGTGATGAAAAATGCTTTCGGGCCACTCGTCGTCTAGTTCACAAGCGAATACTGATAATAGACACGCAAATAAAGCATGCTGCAGACTACTTTAGTAAAGCCTAAATAAAGTGGCTGCTCATGTATACAATATACATATGTGTGTGTGCGGTTGTGTATGTACAATTTGTTTATCAAATATAGCTTTCTTGGAATCTGGAACTTCAAACATGAGGAGTATGGTATGCTGAGACTATCTCACTGACTATCTCGTATCATTCTGTAAGGAACCAATCTACAAGGCATATGGCGGAGGAGCGTCACCAAGTGATTGGCTGACTGACCAGCTAGCGGACCTAGCGGACCTAGCGGTCTGCCAAGGGACGAAGGATCCAGCTGAATCGCGTGGGAGCAGTCCTGAGGGATCAAGATCCACATAGACTTAGACATTATCCACTGCCAAGAACAAATGTCAGGACTCGAACGCAGGCCATCTTTCAGGCCTCAAGAGGGTCAATTTGCCTTATGGGCACGTGTCAATGTTTCACACCTTGGTTGTCCAAAGACCTACATATTTAAGCATCCAACTTTATCAGCCTCTTGGCATGAAAGAATGCTACTTCAGACGCGCCAAGGAAAAATCCTAGAGACCATTATATACACAGTATCCCGACGGTATCATGAAGACTCTGTCCACAAGTAACATCTCCCCGCGGGCGACGCACCACTGCTGGAAGCAAAGCGTTGTAGATGTGGTGCGAAACCGTCTTCGTTTTTCCCTTCCATGGACCGGGGCCCCTCCTTCACCACATCCTCCCAGCGTTCCAGGCGCTGAAGACACGCGGCCCGGTTGCAGTGGAGCACGGCTCGCTCCTGCAAAGACACATCTGTGGAGCAAGGACACTCCAAATCACTGGGGCCGTCCCCCACTCGAAACCCAAGGCTTTTGGGATTTTTAGAGCCAAGACCAAGTCATACAAGTCCCCCACCCAATATTGGTCCACTTTCTCCCTGGGATTCTTGCAAGTTCCATGCTCCAACCGAAGCCTTCACATCCTTCACAAGGCCCCATCAGTCGCGGGGCGGCGCTCCGCGGGCCTTGCTGCTGTCCGAGCCCGGATCTCCAGCAGCAGGGCTCAAGTGCAGGGCTTCAGAGTAGGCCTCTCGAGCATCGTGGAGTCGCCCAGCCTGGGATGGGACCGATTTCGGTTGTGGCAAGGGTAAAGGGGGCAAGGGACCTAAAAGGTTTGCCTACCCGTTGTTGTATCTTTTGTTAACTAGGATCCATGCAAATAAATATCAACACATGTAAAGAAGCAATGAATCAACCATTCAAGTAGATGGAAGTGACTATATACATAAGTTCATCGCCACGTGTTTTCTTTGCAATAGGGGGACAAATATCATGATGATTGATGATACGTTGAGCGCAAAATCTGCAAATAGTTTTTAAACCTGAAGTGCGCGAAGTGCGCCTTGAAGTGCTCGTTCCCCTCGAGTCTTAGCCTCAAGCGACCACCGATCAGCGTTCAAGCGACCAGCTCGGTATGGACCTCTGTAGTTTCACAGCACTCCCTGACTGACCGGAGTAGGCCGGGCTCCAGGCAATACGAGTACCACAAACTCACGTACCGTAGTATAGATATTTAATACTGTAATATTCTTTGTCTTGGTCAAATAAGCTAGGATTTGTTGCGGTATCCGGTATCCTTCCACTTGGACTGTTTTGGCATTGTTCCGCCCAATTCTGCAAAGTGGCTCTTGGGCCTTGGCCACATCTACCATATCGTCCTCATCTTGCTCTGGATTTTCCTCAGAAGGATCAGCAGCCGGAAGATCTTGCACAGGCTCCGCCGGAAGAGGATCTGGGTCCTGTGCTGCCGCTGCAGCTTCCTGCCGAGGGACACTGGGACTTGCGAGCCCCCTGCAACATGGGGATATGGTGAGAAAGGGAGGCCTACAGCTTGAAATGCCCCTTCCTTTTCCAAGGAACAGGTGTGAAGGTCACTACATGGCTGATGAGAACATCGTTGCCGCTAAAACACGTCGTAATCTCTGCTGGCACTGGCATTTGTCCAATCTGCATGTGCCATGTTCGTGACTGCATCATCTGGCCCTAGGCTCACCCTCCCCGCGACAAACATGGAAGTGGACAAACCCCTGTTTGAAAAGGATAAATGATATATAAATGGCCTTTCCAGGGGCCATTTGTTTTGGCGCTTCTCTCACCACACAGACACAGCCGTGCGCGTGCATACGTAGAGCTGAAGCTCCTCATCTGTGTGTGGCCCGTCAGCCGGGAGTGGTTCAGCATCCTGCGGTCAAGGATTGGCAGTGGGTCGCAAGACAAAGCTTCTGACGCTGATCTCCACTTTTCGAAAGCCATGAAACGGATATCGTCAAAAGCTCAGTTAAAAGTTGCTTGAGTTGAAAGGCTTCGGTTACTATCCGCTCCGTCGCTTTCACAAAGAGACTCAGACCCAACTTGGGGTTAGGTCTTTCTGGATCACGACTCACGACATGTGTATCGTTCTTTGTCTGTTGTTCGTTGGTGCTAGCATCTGGCTGAGAGAACAAAAGAACCGCGTCCCCTACCATCTGTGCTTTCTTATCTTTCTTTAAAGAGTGATGTGGCTCAACTTCGAGCACCCCATTTCCCCATCATTTCCCACTGCCTTTGCACATGTATCATGTATCGTGTTGCCATCTTCCCCCTCCATGGCTTTCTCAGTAGGTCGGTATCGAGGGAGGTCGGCACCACACCCCACTCTCACCGGGTTCTCCACCTCGGTCGCTGCATAGCTCTCAGCGATCTCCGCCGAGCTCATGGGCACCGCCGCGATCTCCGCGCTCGCTGCGCCCACGACCCCCGCGGCGCCCGGGGCCTTCGTGGCACCGGGTGGCACCCGTGGTACCTGTGGCGCTGGACGTCCCAAGCTGGCAAGCTTCCAAACCGTACCAGGTCCTTTGGCTGGAGGAGTAGCCCAATGCCCAGAACCCAACTACAGCAAACATGAAAGATCATGAAAGGATAATTAATTCCAGCCATTCTTATTAATCCTTGCCCCATCGCTCTGCAGGTGAAGTTCCGCCGAGCCCTGTCCATTCCTGTTGCCTTGTCTTCAGGGGCGGCTTCTACAACATCATCCTGAGATTTCAGCTCTGCTTCATCCGGCCAAGCCTGGCACATCACAATTCTCGACCACGCCCTCAGGCAAACAACCCAGCTTTGACAGCATTCAGGAAGCTTTAGGACTTTAGGACCATTAAGGAGCGCCCTTGCAGCTTCAGCCACTGTGGCTGCCAGTCCTATGTGGCTGCCTTCACTCGCCCATTTCCTCACCCGGCGAGACTGGTCCGCGCGGATGTCTGCACCTCTGCCAGTTCCTCACCCAGTTTTGGGACGCGCAGAACGATGAACCACAGGTAGAGGCAGCCCAGTGAAATCGCCAAGAAGCTGGGCAGTGCCCAGCCGGAGCTGAACCTGCATCGCTTCTTTTTTTCCGCTGCATCGACCATCATCGGCAATCATAAGCTGCATTTTGATGATACTCAGTACCCCTGCCTGTGCGCCAAAATCCAGGCACAAAAGCATGCAGAAGCCCCAAGCCAGCTTCGGGCACCCATGGCCGGATCCAAGGAATATTCTGATTGTGCAAGTGTGGATTGCCGATTGCTTGGGCATGCCGGGGTTGAGGAGCCAACGAGCTAAGTCAGCCTTGTTTGTGCAAACATGTCCAAACGATGGATGTCTATTCCTGTCTGAATGATGCACGATCACAACATCCTCTGTTTCGATTGGTCAATGTTCACGACTGATGTGTCCTCCCAAGGGGCAAAACTGCGTCTGATGCATGGACCTGCATGGGTCGCAACCATGCACATATCTGCAGGGAAGGCCGTTGAGGCAAAGGACCTGGGACAATAACAAGGGTTAAAAGGTCCTTCAGCAAGATTGCTCAAGTCATGATGCTCTACCAGTTTCCACTGCACAAGTACAGTGCCCCCAAAGGTTCCCATCCCTGGCCCTACACCGTCTGCACACAGAGCACAATCGCTCAGCCTGCACTCTTGTGCTCACGTCGGTACACATGGCGGCGCACTTCAGGGCGGGTTTGCCACTCCTGGCATCCGAGTTGTCATTCATCACAGAGTCATCAACTCTCTCCAATGGATGTGCGCCCCAAGCAAAACCCTTCAATCTGTCAACATCTTTGTGGGCTCCTCTCAACCTATCATCAGAATCAGATCTTGCTTTATTGGACCACTGTCCCGGCTCGGTAATTTGCCAGTTCTCCAACCCGTTGTCACAACGGGGTGAGGTCATAATGCAGTTTTCCCCTACAAGGGGGTTGTGCTCTTTATATCTCTTTATCAGGTATATACTACTGCATATACTGTACTCAACCGTCCTGTTAACCCTTTAGACCGACTCATCCGGCACATGGGGTCCTTGGAGTCATCGGACCATGCACCTGCCACTTTGCAAAAGTGTCAGGCTGAGAATAACAGATACAGCAAACCACCGGAGGCTCTTACAAGTGATGGGCATATTTCACCGGGCGAGCCACCAATGCAGCAGCATCCGAATTCTGGCTAGTGGCAGTGTGATTGGTGACGCCCATTTTCAGCAATATAGACTATTATCCAGTGACAATCGAGGACGATACCGGTTCCGACTCTGCACAGCCCAGCCAAAAATGACTTCAGTCACTGCTACATGTCACTCCGGCCATTATCTTACGAAAGAGAGTCTACAGCTGTGCCGACACACAACTACCTCCCCGAAGGTAACAGCTAGCTAGCCGCTAGACGCTCCAGGCACGACTCCATGCCATGCCCTGCCGCGTATACCCTGCCTTGCCACGTCCGCTTCCCCCAAATGTTGCGCAACTGGAGGAGGCAAAGGTTGTCCTCCACCAAGAAGTCGAGGATAGAATAGCCGTGCCCCTGCTTGAGCGCCAAAAGCAAGCGCCATGAAAATAGAAGTGGGGCTGCCAGGCTCTATACAATCTGTTGTCAGTAAACACGTGTCTTGGACCTCTTGAATTGTTAAGTTGATGCCTCAATCAACTTATGAACTTCGCCAATGTAATGTGGGACAAATCTTCCAATACAGTATAGCCACTCCCCCCCACTCCCCCCCCAAAAAAAGCAAGTCCCCTCTAAAACTGTCTTGGAAGTTGCTTCTATCTGATATATATATATATATTGTTTTGCACATACCGCGACACCATACCACCCAGACCGGCCCATACCATAATACCATACCAAACATATTCCAAATATACACATATATAAAAACTCACACCGTCTTTGTTTTGACGCGCTCCGCAGTTTGGTCAT